CCAGAAAGAGACACAAAATAGCCACAAACTCACACAAATTACCACAAAGAGACTAAATGGTTGTAAACAGACACACAAACTCTCTGGAGTCCTGTTGGGTCAGTCTTTGGTCATGATGTGTATTTTTGTGGTAGTTTTGTGTCTCGTTTGGTCGTTTAGTTCCTCGTTTAGATCATTTTGTGCGTCTTTGTGATATTTTGCATCTCTTTGTGTTTTCCTTTGTGGTTTTTTTGTGGTCATGTCGTGATTGTTTTGTGTCCATTTTTACTAATTTTGTGTGTCCTTGTGATTTTTTTGAATGTGTCTGTGGTCTTTCTCACCATTTTGTGTCTCTTTGTTGTCATTTTTTGTCTATTTTTTGTGCCTGTTGTGGTCATTTAGACCTTTTTGTGTTTATTTTGTGTCTCTCTGGAGTCATTTTGGGTCAATTTTTGGTCATCATGTGTATTTTTCTGATCATTTTGTGTCTCTTTGTGCGTATTTTGTGTCCGTTTGAGGTTCCTTTTGGTCAACTTATCTCTCTTTGTCGTGTGGCCTTTTAGTCACTTTGTGTATTTTTGTTATAACGTTGTGATTGTTTTGTGTCTTTATGCTTATTTTGCATCACAGTTTCATCATGTTGTGGTTCTTTGTGGGTTTCTTGTGTCTTTCTCAGCCTTTTGTGTCTCTGTGTTGTCATTTCGTTTCTTTTTTTGTGTTTGTTTTTGGTCATTTCCTGTCAGATGTTCTTCGTGTCTCTTGATTTATACGTTTTTTGTGTCCTGGACTCCCTCTAATGAGAGAAATATGTAAAATAATGGATTTGTTTGTGTGGCACAGCTGAGCTTACGGCTCCCGTGTTCCCTGAAACCACTGTTGAATTAAAATTCATGATTAAATGATGCCGCAGTAACAAGGCGCTGGCCGATCCGGATCCCCACACTGTGTCCGTCCCGTCAGACCGCCGGACCAGAAGCGATGCTGAACAACAGGCCTTTGGTTCTGGCCGGCCTTCGTGTCCGCCGCCGTTCTTTCTCCTTGGCTTCCCATCACATCCATATTAATGCGGAAGCGTTTCCTCCGGGAGCTCGCAGCACGCACACTGAAAATCTGCCTGAGCTTCATTAAACCTTCACCGCTTCCAGCAGCTGCAGTTCGGATCAAACCGTCGGCGGCCGGAAAAAAAGAACAACAGGCACGGGCCGGACCGCAAATAGGCCCTGAAATGACATTTAAATCCCTGCAGCAGAATAATGCGGCTGCAAAGTGAAACTGAAACACTTGCTGGATGCCTCTGATGCCTCCGTGGATCCCTTCACCTCCACTCACTAAAGCAAAGCAGCAGATGCTCCTCCTAAAATCAGCTGATTGACTTCAGGTTAACGTCTCCGTCAGTCTGGCCTCGTTACGGGCGGATTCAGCGCCATGCAGAACAAAGAGTTCGAGCATCTCCACGGAGATACCGTCACCAGGTCAGAGATGTTCCAGCTGGAGGAGACGCTCCTTCAGCGTTCTCCTGCAGAGGAACAACAGCTTTGGTTTCGCTGAGTCGTCACAACGAAGGAATCTGAGCTGCGTTTCTTACAAAATCCACCTTCTGCTGTAACACAAAGTGAGCATCCGGGTTTCTCCAGCAAGGAGAATAAACCTGGTACCGATCCTGACTGAAGTATTATGGGATGTCATTCATCGAGATGCTCCCCCGTTGTTCCGTCCTCACTGAAGACTCATCAGAGTGAACTCCGTCTCCTCCCCACATCTTACAGAAATCCTCCATTCAGGATTCTTCACACTGCTTCGTTTCACTTCCTTGTTCTTTGGGAGGTTCTTCCTCTTCGTCAGGCCTCCTGAGACTCCGTGCGTCCACCGTGGAGGTCCTGGTTCAGCTTCAAACATCTGGACTCCGTCTGAGCCCAACACACTGATCTCCATCTGACCAGAGAACGTTCTCCAGCTTCCACCAGGCTTCTGTTCGGGTTCTTTCGCGAACTTTCAGAGCATTTGCAGTTTTGTACGAAACAACAAGTTGGCAAGTTTGATGTTCTGAAGTGAGGAGCTTCACGCTGACTCTGGTTTCTACTGACAACATCTGTACCGAGTCTGAAGCAGCTGCCGTCTGACAGATAGTGAAACTAGCTGACTGTCCAGGAGGACGACCACTGCAGCCCTGATCTACTGTGGCTCCTCCAGACCTCCGGGTTCCTGCTCACTCTGGGCTTCACTGACTCTACATCCTGGATTCTCTTCCATCTTCATGAAGTTGACTTTTCAGCCCATCCTGGTCCACATGGAGCCACGATGCAGACGCAGTCCACAGATCTGAACGTGGGTTCGTCTGTTACTGAAGAAACGAAGAGTTCATTTACAAAAACAGA